GTGGCGACTCTGAAATCTGGCAAAGCAGTCCATGTTTGGCACTTTTAATCAAAATCGATTTTCCAAAACGATTTGCCGGATTTGGACTCTTTGGTGATTTATCAGTCTTACATTGCACTTTATGAGATTAGATTCAGAACCGTGACAAGAGTCCAAACTGTAGTAGCTAGAACACAATTCGCGCCCTCTTCGAAAGGGGGGCGCGGAGCGAGTTCGGGCGGTCTACAGATAGGTGTTTGCCAAGTGCTTTGTACTGGTGCTGTTGACTGTCTGTTCCTTCTTCATCGGGTGACTGGCGGAATTGAGACTAACACTGGCTGGCCACCAACAAGGTCTTGAGCTTTGCGAAGCCTGCCAAAACAAGTCCACACAACTTGGGAAATATTGAGTCTTTCTGAAGCTATGACGGTAAACTACCTAGCAAAAAGAAAGAAAGAAAAACATAATCAAAATCGCACAGCATTTCGGTGCCAATTCTCAACAGTCATAACACACAACTGAACTATAATCCCCACTTGAACTCTGTTCTCAAACTCATACTGACATGAACCATCCTGTAAAGTCAAAAGCACATACCAAATAAAAGAACCAAAACACCCCTATGAGGGGGGTAAGGTTACCCTATCCTGGATTTTGACATGATCTAGGTTGTACTATTTCAAACAATGAGTTTCACAACATCCTACAAATGGGTGGCATCCTGTCCTAAGTTGGTACAGTCACTATAGCTTCACTATATATAACTAGGTCAAATGGTCGAAAGGGTACCTCAGCAAGATTACCTAATATACCTCTCACACCTAACACCGAGAAGTGAAATATGGATCAAGTGGTATACCGGTAATCCAGATTCAAGGGTTGTGTTTCCAACATGGCAGAGCCCATGACCGGTCAACCTTTTGGCAAGCCTTTTGGGTAAGCCTCCGGAAAACCGTCCAGGAATAACAGATAGAAAACACAGTAACTTAAAGTAACCATGAAAATGCAATGCAAAGAACGTATAAGTGTAGATAGAATTTCACATCATGAGTTTCAAGTCAAGTTCTCTAAATCGCCAGCAGAGACGCCAAAAACTGTGGCTTGCTTTTCGCGCTACTTTCGGAAGACGACTAACCCCACAATTCAGACTCCCGAGGTTCTGAATCTGATTTCACAAAGTGCAATGTGAAGCAATGAAAACACAAACCAAATCCGGCAATTCTTTTGGAAGATCGATGTTTGAATCAAATGCCAAAAATAGACCGCTCTGCCAGATTTCAGAATGGTCACCTAAATATTTTTGAAAAATTTATGAAACCTGAGACTCATGCTAAAGGCCATTAGTCCGTCATCACCAAAGTGTCTCGGCTCGGGAACTTAGGTATGAGAGGGGAAGGTCATGAATTGAGCACTCCACTTGCCCGATCAAAGATCGGCCTCTACTAATCATGATGTGTTTTTTATTTACATTATATGCACTTGTTCTGATTTATTAGCTATTTTTACTATGTGATACGCACACAAGTATAGACTAATTTTGCAAAAGTTGGAACATTTGATTTCATGTTTGTTTTTTTGAAAATGAAAAGAGTTTGTGAATGTGCCACTTGAAAAAGTAGGCTTAAATGTACATGAATCAAATTGTCCCAATTCAAGCAACTAGCCTCCATCCACAGATATTCAAACAGTTTATCATTTAACATACAGTGCAAGATGCAAAAGCTCAAAATTGCTCACCTAGTACTCCGAGTCAAAACAAAGCAAAATAATTAGAAAAATATGCATGCTCCCAATTAATGCAACATGACTAATGCAACACATACAAGTTATGTAATTTGTAGGCTTGACTATGAGTATGGCATATGATTTCATTCAAGACATGCGATAAAGCACGTATTCAAGTAATAAATTTGAAAATTGATATTGGGTTAATATGATAAGCTGAACCTTGGATGCATGCAAGACAATGTATGCAAAGCATAAGAATGTTAATTTGAAAATGATGTTCTATACTAACCATCGTAAGCAAATAAGTAAAAGAGAGAAAGACGTGGGATTGGAAGACATACTACTTATTACATATTGGCCCTCGTGCAAGAGGGTGTGAATCAAAGTCTGAAAGTCCGAATTAAACTAATTATTACAAAACCGAATGAATAAATAAGCAAAGAATTAACTAGCTAGCTACTTTATTACAACAAGGATAATAATGAGAAATAAACTAGTTATCTACATTAATTAGCTATAACAATTACAAATAAACAATAATGATAATTACAACACTAATAATTAACAAGACTAATTATAACAATAATAATAAATTAACAACAATACTTGGAGCATTAATCTACAACATTGATGTAATCGGGGATGCACAAGGGTTGCATGCACGGTGTCCAAGAACTCTTCTGTCTACCTAGGCCTACTCTGTTTCACCTTCAGCCACTGCCCTCTGTTTTCTACAAAACATACTACTAACTAAACATTGATGGTCGGTCGTGCCACAATGAGGCCCGACCAGGCCTAAATAAGGTCGATCGTGCCTTAATTTTATGCAAAATCCTCTTTTGTACTCTAAAGTGAAAACAGTGCAGACAGAGTTATCCTGAACTCTGTTTGTCCCTCTCTCACTTCTCTGTCACGGAAAAGCCTCAAGAGAATGTTGAAATTGTTTCCAAAACCATCAATGAGCAAGTTGATGGCTTGATGATTTCGGACTCAATTTGGATAAAAGATCGATAAATGCAATGAACAACAACAACTCATCCCTCCTATCATAAAGTGAACTCAAAGAGGGAGGTAGAGACGCTTCAAGATTCATCAAAACATCATAAATTGATGTAAGATAACCCTTGACACAATAGATTCGGCATAATGTCAGGTCGAACCCAAGCAATATGAATCATTTTCTTTATGCGGTTGGTTCATTTTAAGCTAAATTCATTAGTCTTTGCCATCCTTTAATCCATTAAGTCCAAGATGATTGTTACGTCCACTAAAGATTACGTCCACTAAGTGAGAAATATGTCAAACGGGAGGTGATTCTCAACATAAACAAGAGACTATGTCGTTGACAATGAACCTCCGTAGAGATTAAGCCATTAAGCATAGATCTCTAGTTCATGTTTTGAATAACCGTCAACCGATTGAAACAACTCTCAAATGAATGAAATAAATGGCAAGTTGGTTATTAAAATGAGGTTTTTAAACATGGAAATTAGACAAAGAAAGCTAGAATCAACATGCAACTAGTCATTTATACAAACTTATGAGACAACAAACAAACTAATCAAAGCCTTATCTAACTAAACAACTTAAGACAATCCTAAAACAGCCCTTGATGGGTGAAAAATAGTATCTCAAAGTACATGAAAAAAAGCCTACAAAGCTAAACAACCAAGAAAGAAAACTAGGCTAGTAAGTAAGAACAAGGAGGGGTGGCTAACCCCTCCACTTTTGAAACCTCAAAGCATGACTTTTAGCCTCTTTTAAACTCTGAAAAAACAATTTAGAAAGCAAAGAAAAGGGTATAAAAGCAAGGGTTTGCGCCATAAGTAAAGGTGTAAGAAAGAGTATAAACTCTCTAGAGTGTTAACTCTTTCTACCCTTTTGGTAGCTTTTCAAACCCAAACTACACTTGAAAGAGAATCAAAACAACCCAAACATACAAGAACTTGATAGCAATAGGTAGAATAAGAAGTAAAAGAGTGGATGACAAGCTTATACCTCTCAAAGAAGTGAGCTTTTGTTTGTGAATCAAACTAAGTCCAAACACACTCTCAAGCTTGAATTCTGTTGCTCAAGGCTCAACTAAGGTTCCTAGGCTAAGGTATGAAGGTGTATATGGTGTATGGATATAGGTTCAAGGTGGTAAGCTTACTCAAAGGTTGCTTGTCAAAGAAGAAGGAGCTCTCAAGAAGGTGTATAGGCTTTTTAAAAATTCTTCAACACTCAAAACAGAGATACAATTTCGTTTTTATAGAATTTGAGCAAGAGGGGTCATAAATATCTTCAAAAATAGACAGCTGGCGGGCTCCTGCCCAAAACAATATTTCTCGCTACTAAGGCATGTCCGACCATTAATAGCCACGGCCAGCCCTCAATGAGGCATGGCCGGGCCTCAATGGGATCCCCTGTTTTTCTGTTTCAAACTCAGCATAGGGTGGTACAATGTGTAAAAATAGATTTCTTGAGTATAATCAGTGAGAACATAGAAGGTTTGGGATTGTTTCGGAGCTTAAACATAGCCCCTTCGTTGAGACCTCGAACCACACACAACACCACTTTCATCATCGAGCCTACCGGGCAAAGCGCTCGAGCCTTGCGAGCGGTCAAAAATGTGGTGTCTATAAACGCTCCAAAAAAATTAAAAACTCATTAGTATACTTTTCCAAATATGACAATGTGACAGGTATGATGTGACACTCCAAAAAAATTAAAAACTCATTAGTGTACTTTTTTCAAATGTGACAACGTGACGGGTATGATGTGACACTAAAAAAAAACTAAAAATTCATTGGTGTACTCCAAACGTGACATGTGACACTCTAACGTGGTAGGTATAATATGATACTACAAAAAAGTAAAAACTCTTTAGTGTACTTTTTCCAAATGTGGCACTCTAACGTAACGGGTATGATGTGACACTAAAAAATTCCTTAGTATACTTTTTTCAAATGTGACACTCCAATGTAGTGGATAAATGAGTCATTACACATCAAAAAGGACTAAATGGATCACAATAAAAAATATATATATAAGCCTATATAGATTACAAGTCCAAGATATGGGACCTATTGATCAATCTCCCTTGTTAAAACGCTAAAGGGCAAATTAGCCATTTCAAAATAAAAACCAAATGCAATACATTTCTTACTGAACAGAGTGAAAATCTTATCCACCTAGCCATTACACGACAATTTGTTTAGTTAATTCCAATCAAATAGAGTGAAATTATCATTCTTAAAAAAAAAAGTATACTACTCACATAGGGGGAAAATAATAATAATAATAATCTGCTATTGGAATCACAATGTTCTGCATAGAGCTTGAACTGTGTTATTGTTTTTGCAGTACTTCAATGAAAGAACTTTTGCATAGTAAAAGGGTACTATGCAATGAAAGAATTCTCTACCATCCAAGCCATTTTAACCACATGATCTGAAGGGAAATAAATCAATAAATTAAAGTACAAGAAGATGAAATGGACTCTAGAAGAGATCTCAGAAATATGAATTCTGAGTTTTTTCAAAAGTAAACCATGAAAGAAGGAGAATCTTCTTGAGCAGTAATGGCTGAAGTGGAAGCAGAATGGAAACTCCTCAGAAACTGCACTTGCATTCTCATACGCCTTGGGACCAAAAGCTGCTCCCTCACCCTTGCCATTGCCGCCCTGTACTCTTCCAACAGCTCCACCACCATCCCCACGTTTATCATCACCTCCCTCTCTCTCTCTCTCTCAAAATTGTGTATTTTGTTGATGGAAGAGAACTGGGAGATGGGTTTGATGAAAGAAAGGATGGAAAATGTGAAGTCAAGTTGATAGTTCTATCTTTATACATCCATTTTTAATTATAAGATGGGGATTAACTTGCCTTTGTTTTTTTTTTATTAATGCTATTTTCTAGTTTAATTGTAATCTTCCATGTGGTTTTTTATTATATCTATATAATCATATTAACAATAATGTCATGACAATGATTAATTTTGCAATCATTAACAAGTAACAACCAGTTGGGACCTAATTTTAAGGCTCTCTATGTCAATAGTTTCTTTCTATCACCAACTCTCTTAATCTGTTTTTAATTACTATTTTTATTTTATTTTTAACAAGCTGTATCGACATCTTGGAGCATCCCTAGGTGTGTCGTAAGAGTTATCATTAAGACAAATCCCTGCAACCAATCCCAATAGAGACATTAAATTTGTCTTTAAATTTAAATGGATGAAACATTTTTGAGTGCATTTGGAATTTTAAGCACAACCCAACGAAAAAAGTTGAATGATTTATTTAGAAAAAACTATAAAATGGAGAATTTTCGAAGAAATTGAAGGGGTAAAAACTGTATGAAGCTTCCAATGTACGTAGTTCCAAAATTTTTTAATGCTTTGGATGGAAAATGATCTAAATCACAAAATGACAACCTGTTTACTTATACATATTAGAAAAGAGAAAAGAAAGAGACCCTTAATTTGAAAATCTGAAACCAATTTTCTCATTTGGAAGACAAAACAATGACTAGTTCCTACCAGGATAACAAGCTTTGAATTTGGCCAAACATGGTCTTAATTTCTAGAGGAAATGTGTCAAATGATGGGTTCATCCCCTCAAGTCTAATACTAGTACTTATCTGTTGGACTATCATGAATAGCAAGGATCTGTTTGTTTGTGCACACTCATGCTGACTGACCAAATGTTTCATATTTTATATGGATAAGAAAAATCCGAAGGAGCAGTTGCCAAACATGTCAAAAACCATCTTTTTTTTTTTTTTTTTTTGGTGCAGTGATCAACCTTACATTTATTCTTAATTTTAGAAGGAATTGGACCGAATGAAGACCTTCTTCCATGCTTTCCAATTGAGAGACCGAGCCCTAGCTAGAGTTAAAGATGGCATGGAGCAGTCATGTGGAAGAGGGTATAGTGATGACAGTGTTGGTTGCGATGGTTCCATTTCTACATTATTGTCTTCTGGATTCCAAAATTGAGTTTGTTTTCTCTTCTTCCTCATGGTTGCTAGCACTTCATACTTGTTGCATATTCCCCACATTGTCACCTTCTGTTGATAGAAATCCACATTTACCAAGTGTGTACAATATAACACCATACATTATAAGCTATGAAACATGGGTACTACGACACACATGAAGTATCCCTATCGAATATTTACCTGCGTATAGTACTTCGTATGGTACTTTTACATACGGACAGGGTACACGAAACACGTATTCAAATTTTTTTCTTCTTAATTTTTGGCATACCCAAACATACTTAGTATATACCCAAGTCATACCGTACCTCAGTTGAAATAATATTTTCTTCTACTATAGAAATAAAATTCTTTTCAGTAGATTCTTTTTTATGTTTAGTTTTATGCTTAGTATTATTTTAAAATTAAGCTATGATTTGTAAATTATTTAATATAATAACATTTAATTTTGGTTTATATATTTACTTTTGACATTAAATGTTAATGGTGGTTGGATCTTAACAAATTAAACGATTTAATCAACTTTTTATATTACTCCAAATTAAAAATAAATATTTTTTTACAAACGTACCAAGGCGTATCCGTACACTACTTTTTTTGAATTTTACCATATCCACATACTCATATCGTAGTAGTACCCTTACTCATAGATTATGAGATTCATTTAAAGTGATGTTATAAAAAATATGTACAAAAAAAATTATGTAATTACTGACCAAAGGAGCCTTTAGGGAACATAATTTGTTAGGTGAGGATCCTTTGTTCTGTGTTTAGGGAACTTAATTTGTTAGGTGAAGATCCTTTGTTCTGTGTCACAATGCACTCTCAATTAAATCATGTATGAATCTTGAGGCATCTTGAAGCACATGAATCTCGATATATTATCTAATAATGAGGAATTCATTAAAACAAGGGAATAGAGGAATTTAGAGATAGGATCCATCACAAGCCTAGAAGTATGCCTACAGCAGCTGAGATTGTACTGAGTTCAATTTCGTTCACACTTTCAAATTGTGTGAACAAAAACTACTTTCATTAGTCTAGAATAGTTGGGTCTACAACCTTGAGTAAGGTCAATACACTCTTTGAATAGAAGGCCCACTGTTTTCAACCAATGGGAGTTGTGTGAAAGTGTGAACAAAAACTATTTTCAACTATTATCACAACAACAATCACAAAAAACCAACATCTGCCCAACCCAGACTCAGAACAGTAATGTTAAGAATACTAACAAATATATAGTAACATAGCAACTAAAAGGGTTCCATCACTTGACGTGGAGCGCAGCTAATATTGTTGTGTTTAGTTAATATATTTGTTGGTATTTGTAATATTATTAAGATTCATAGCAGTGTAGTGTAGCAGCTGAAGGAGATATAACAAAAGACATGGGATGTGTACTCAGTGGCTCATGGGAACATGGCAAGGTTACCTATTAGGACTTTAACAAAAAACACGTATAAGCCCAGGCCATGCTAGAGATGAGATAAGTAACATGGTGGGCTCAATTTTGGAGTCCAATACAAGAAAACAAATCGTGAGACTAAGGTCCCTAACAACTTCACTAGCCTACTTCTCATTCAAATCCTGTCCAATTGAAGTAAGATTTTCCAAGGCAAAAATATGAGTTTTCCACATGCTGAATCTGATAATGCTCATACTTATTAATGCTACGTATCATGAAATAAATATCATGAAAAACTTCATGAAACTAATCTAAGGGTGAATGCATAACATACAATAAAGCACTACAAACACTATAATCTAATCCAAGGGTAGAGAATCTTCATGAAAACTTCTCATGACATTGTTTTCATGATAGCTAGCATTATTGATTGAATTTTGTGCATTTATAATCTTTCCAAAAATATTAAAGCTTTCCAGTTAGTTTTAGAAGCGTCAATGCCACATCAATTGCAACAAGAGGTCTAAAGACGACAATTTTTTTCCTTCTTCAATAAACAAACATGTAAAACTGGCTACAAACTAACAGGATTTGTGAAGAAAAATATACATTGAAAATGGGGGTTTTAAATTTTGATTGTTTGTTTTACCTCTGAGATGTGATGGAGCCTTGTTTACTTTCTCCTCCCACCCATAAGAATACAAAGGCACTCTCATTTCCACATATTGAGCCGCTATGTTCTTGCATGCTGGAACAATTTCCATGTTCACCATTCGAATACCAAAAATTTCATTACCAAAATATCCTCTTGATGTTGTTCTTTCTGTTTTGTGCTTTTGAAAACTTGAAGGTGGTTGATGGCTATATATATATATATATATTTGACCTCTATAAAGCAGTGATGACAAGTTTGGTTAATCTTCATGGAAAGCAGAAGGCATAAATCCTGGCTAGATTCCCTGGAAAAGAAGGGACATAGGCCCTCTTAACTTTTTCTCTCTTTGAATTCTCAAAGTTCATCCTTTACTGTTGAGTTAGTTGTAGAGATTTCTGTACTTTGAATTGAGGACTGTTTTTGAAGGAAGCAGGTGGTGGATGGATCATGACTCAAAAGAAAAGTATAAAGATGTGTCATTCAATCATCTATGTTTGGTCAATTGAAAAAAAGAGAAAATTGTAAACCCTTTCTCATGGGGATTTCACTATCTACTAGTTTAGTTTAGCTCCCACATGGGCTGTATTTTGCTTAACAGAGAAGTAGCTTTTGGGAAGTTTGGAAGGTGCACAAAATGCAACAGTAATATATATTATAAAAGTTGAGAGAGTATGATCATGGTGCATTGAGTATATAAATGCATACTCTTGGGTGATTCTCAATGCATGTGCTTACTTTTAAGTACCCCTTTATCTTAGATCTTCAAAAGAAATCATTTAGATAGTTTCTATCAATTTCTTTATTCTTCTTCTTCATCTTCTTAGTTCAATATTTGAAAGCTGGTTTTGATTGTCGGATGGTAAAATAGTGATTTTGTGGATGCTCTAACGACTACAAAGCATGATCCAAAGGGAAGTTAAAAGTAGCACCATTTTTTTGAAACTGGGAGTTGGTGTACCATCCCAACTTTCTCCTAGTTCATAACAGTGCATGTTCAGTTTGGATTTCGTTGTTCAAAGAAATGAAGTTAATTTATTCAATTATCTAATCTAGAAGAAGCACATGATGATTCGAAATGTTGCTAGATGAAAATTATCACATTCTCAAAATGCGTGACATTATAAGTCAAAAAACGCAACCAAAAAAAAAAAGCCTAGTAAGCAAAGTCAAATGAAACGTAACTTATTTTTGGAGTAGAAAAAGTGACTTTAGGATTCCCTCTTAATCCTAGGGTCTACCATCTCGTTTTGATTTTTTTTTTTTTAAATTATATATATAAAATGTTTAATAAAATGAACGGTTCAAATCAATACCTTTAAATCTAAATAAAAGATTAAATACTTTACTATAAATATTTCTCTATTAGATTAAAATATGGGATTGGTTCATTTAACCCTTTCAAAAACAAGTGGTTGAGATATTTTTTCTTTTTCTTTTTTTTTCGAGTTTTCAAACTCTAAAATTTAAGATGGTATAATTTTAACTCATAGGTTGCCGTCAAAGGAGACCTTAATCCACTTGAATCATTAAAAAACAACAAACAAACAGAGCAATTAAGGGTGTGACTGTTTTGTTACATATAATATGCGACAAAAATGAAAAAAAATATAAAAAAAAACAGAGTGGGGTGGTCAGATTATGGCTGATGATTCAGCACCGCCACGAAAGGAGACTGAAAAGGGTCCCACAGAGTGAGCAGTTGTCCATCTCACCGTTGGCTTTACATGCTTATTCAGAGAATGACTCAGATCAGATCTTCATATTGGAACCCACCCACCATGTGATGCCCACTCCCACCACCACTGATTGCATCAGGGAATCTCCTCTCCCTTCTCTCCCCTCGTTTAGGATGTTTACATATAGGCGTGCACGGTGGAGTTTGAAGTGATTTAAGAGTAAAATTATAAATTAAATAGTTTATTAGTAGATTAATGGATTGGTAAATTGTGATTTAGGTGATTTTGGACGAGTTGACACATTGAAGAATATTCTAATAAATTATCAAGCATTTACATAATATATAATATTAATTTACATAATATTTTATATATATATAACTATTAATTTATAATAAATTTCACATTTTAAATCTCCTACTTTGATATTTCATTAGAGGTTAAAAAATATACATGTATTAATTGTAGCAGAACGAAATAATTTGAAAGGCGAATTACAAATTTTAAAATTTAATTTACAATTAATATATAGAGCGATACAAATTAATATGAATCGATACAATTTTAATGGATACAATATTATTCACATATAATACAATTGCATGTTATTCAACAGTCTTTTTGCCCCTGCGGTTCATGTGCATTTCACAAGCCCACATATAGTGTGAATAATAATTAGCCAAAGAAAAGAAGAATTAGATCAAATCTTAATAATTAAAGAAGACTGCTTTTGAGAATGAATGAGACGAGATTCTATGTCATGTCATGTCCCCAATCTCTGTCCACATCCTCTACTATTTGTTATATTATGCGCTTAATTTTTTCAGTACTTTGTTTGGGGAGAAGGCAATTTGAAATAGTTGGATATTGGAATCCTATGAAAATAAAAAAATAATATATATATATATATATGCAAACGCGTATTCGGGAAGCATAAGCCAATTCTTCAACTCAATTTTTTTTATTTTTTAATTTTTTTTTTTAAAAAATGCTGATTTAGAACACCATATAGACAATAACTCATAAAATTCTAAGATTAGTGAATAATTGCTCATAATTCCACATATTTTGTGCCCTACATTTACTGAGAGCTCTCTTATAAATATATATATATATATATATGAGTAAAAATAATTTAAATGTGAGCTCTGTCAACCCAAATAATTCAATCCCAACTGGGAAATTCCAGGACAATAATATATATATATGTTTGTTGTAAGTTAAATGTAAGCCTTTTAATTTATTTTTTTATTTTTTTGAGATTCTTGTGTCAAATTGTTTGTTGCATACAATATATAAAAAAAAAAATAACTTAAATAAAGGAAATATCTTCAAACTGAAAAGAAATACTTTCAGATTTTACTAAATGATGTTAGCTTTGCTCCACAGCTGCTAATATGGCAAGCTCATTGGCTTAATTTACTACAAATAGTAAATACTAGTGGGCCTTTTTTTCCCCAGTAAATTCCTTCCCTTTATTATATGCTGCTGCTCATGAAACTTTGTCAGATTCCATGAAATTAATATTAAATTTCTCTATTGCCTCTCTATTCTCATCATGATGAAATCAATTGGTAAACAGGAATGACCTCAAATTCTTTTGTTTGGCTGGTTGGTATATAAATCCAGCTGCAGTGTTTTAGTGTCTTGGATGGATTAGTCAATGAGAATCACAACAATAATAAAACTGTATTTTGATCATAGATTTATGTATAAATTTGAAAAGAGAAATGAATATAAAGTCAGTCTATATTTCATTTATGTTTTTCTCACATTTTCTTTTTTATATTTTTATCCAAATCTAAGATTCAAATATAGCTCAAGTACGTCATTCTTTATGTTAGGTTTTTATTCTTGGTAATCCCGTTTAACAAAACTCTTTTCAGTTGTAATTTTATTTCGCACTTTTTATTTCAGTGAGTCTATGAGTGTTTAAATGCGAATCCAACCCAAATTGTGCCTTGCAGAGAAGTTTGTGATGTTAATACTTTCAAGATTACCACTTCGTTGATTATGACAGGGATCGAACTGTCCGGTCAGCTCGCGAGAGTCCAGGGGGCAGCACCCCTTGGTGGGTCCGGGGCAACGCCCCCAAAGCAAAATGCAAAATTGCATTCAAAGTTGCTTGTCCGCCCTTACTCGCTTGAGCGAAGAAGTCCTCGCTCAAGCGAAAGACTGCGTCTGCATAAAGACCTGAAAGAGATGTTTGTTCGCTCGAACAAAGGATGCGTCGCTCGAGCGAAGCCACTTATGGAAAACACGCGTTTTTTGTTCCTCGCTCGAGCGAAAGAGTCTTCACTCGAACGAGCATCGCGATTCAGATTTCTATAAGTACGAGTTTCTATCAGATTTTAGGATTACTTCTCCAGATCTTCTTCTTGGGTTCTAGGATTTATATCTGGGGATATTTTGCTAGTTTTCTTTGATGTTTTGATTGAGTATTCAACTCATGATTTTAGAAGTTTACATCAAAGGATTGTTTGTTTAATTCTATACAAAAGAGAGAGTTGTTCTTCGGTGGATTCTGAAGAATTCGAGCCTGAAGTTTTGATGGATTCTGGAGTGGCTTATCGTCAAGACAATTCCGAGGTGAAGACGGGGTTGGAAGAGACACATAGAGGTTGGTTCAATTCGGGCGTGGATTCGCTAGGTAATTGAAAGTATACCTGTGTAATTCCTTTATATCTTCTTAGTGGATTGTTTTGTAACTGTTGCCCGTAGTTTTTTTATCACGATTGGAGGTGCTCCAATTGTGGTTTTTCCACGTAAAATCGTTGTGTCGATTTATCTTGATTGTTTGATTGGGATTGTTATTTATTACTTAAAATTAATACATAATCACAAATCAATATCTAGCAAATTTCTAGTTTTTTCGCTTTATTTCCTAAATACATAACAAAGATGAGTGAACTTGTCTTATCCGTAAAAAATTTCACTACATGATTGAAACGCTACGTAAACAATGTCATATGATACTCCAAAACTAGTAAATAAAATTGTTCTACTTTACTCTCCCAAAATTAATAAATGTTTTCCGACTTTCCTCTAATATGTATAGTGTGCGCCTTTGGCTTATGCATATATGTTTACATCACATTTAGATTCACAATCCATAGTTAGTGTTGTGACCACCCTGATAATCCATGATAAAAAGCAAGTATGGGACTTACATTAAAAGGATTGTGTTTTGAAAAGATGGTAAAAGGTTAACTTTTGATTTTTTACTAAATTTTTAACTTTTTTTAAAAATGATTTGGGAAGTTGGTAAAAAGTTTTTTTTTTTCTTTTTGTGTAATATTTATTTATGGTGTCACATCACATTAAAATGACCAAAATATCCCACCAAACTCAGAAAATTTACTTTTTAACCCATGTAGTTGTTTGAACAATTATGTAATTACATGGAAGGCAATTACGTAAATTCATGACTTGCGTTTTTGACCATTCCCAAATCAACCTGCTTGCTTTTTTCATGTTGCTTGTTGCTTTTTTTGGAATGCTGCAAAACGCAGCTTCTTGCTTACTTCCCAAATGGACACTGTGTATGCATATATCTGAATAGATAGGCAATAAAAAATCAAAAACAAAAACAAAACACATAAAATACAGAATAATGATTATATTTTTCTTCTATGTATTATCATAGAGAACAGAGAAGTACAATTGGGGAGTCATTATTATATGATCATGAAAGTTTGTGATGATCATGAATTTTCAATCAAGTAATGCAACAAGCATTAGGGTTTTCATCAGAGAAGAGCTGTGGAGGTGGGATTCTCTCAATGACATAAAGGGGCTGATAATAATACATCATTCTCTGCATGCTTTGTTCATCAGTAATAATATTTGGCTCTTCTTTATTGTTCTCACCGCCACCTTTCTCTTCTTTGTTCTCACCACCTTCTTTCTTTTCTTCTTCCGGTGGCTTCTCGCCGCCAGCGCCTTCTTTTTTCTCGGCTGCAGCCTCTTCTCCTTCCTTCTTCTCTTTTGGATTCGGTTCTTCAGCCAGCTTTTCTGCTTCTTTTTTCTCTTCGGGCTTTTCTGCTTCTGCTTCAGGCTTTTTGGACTCAGGCTGGGGAACTATTTTGGCTTGCTTTTTGGTGCGTCTGTAAACATAATCGACCAGCCTGTTTGCATCCATTGTGCCAGTCGCTGTGACTTTTCCAGTGCTCAGCTCAGTCGTCGCAGTTTTTACTCCTGCAATGCAAACAAAAATCACATATGATGAAACTGTTAACCAATGTAATAAGGAAAAGTTGCTAAGAAATCTATGCGGAAAAGAGAAGTGTAGTTGAGATTTAGTTGATATATTATGGAGTCCATAATGAATAAAACCCACACATTAATGCTTCTGGTGAAAATTGTGAGTGTATAGTATTTCTGATACTTAGCTTGATTAACACATCAAAGACTATCTAATAAAGTAATGCTATACATAATCTTTGTTTTTTTTTTTGTTGTTTTTTCTCATATTTAGATATATGACAATAGAATTCATATTAAGGGGGTGTTTGGAAAGTGACTTTTTTTTAGGTTTTTTGGTTTTTTGGTTGTTTTAGGCTAAAAAGTTTTTTTACAATTTGAGGCTAAAATAACCTGTCTAAAAGGTTTCCAAACACCGCCTAAATAAGAGTAGTGTTATTCAAATTCAAAAATTAGATGAATGTATATGAATTCAGTCAGTTGTGTCTGATGAGAAAACATATTTAGTGACTATGTTAACTCAATAACAAGGGTGTGACGTTTTTTCTTTAAAAAAAAAAAATTAATTACAAAAATGGTCACAATTGATGCCATTGAACAAGAACACGACCAGCCAGGCTGGAATTTAAGGCGAACTTAATAATTTTTGGTATAATGAGTTGAAGAGATAGGACCCACAAGCATGAGCTACATTATCTAAATATTATTTTGAAAATTAAATATATGAATCAAATTTATTCAAAATGTAACCCACATGACACCAAGTAAGTTTGAATTCATATCACCTTACTTTTAAAATATTTTTAAAAATAATTTTTTGGAATATTTATCTTTTTCCTCAATTGTGAGTGGCATGATGGTGGGGAGCACCAAATAGCTGCTCTAAATTTCAGTTCACAATTCACACTACAATTGGCTTGATTTTGTGACATTCACTGAAGTTATTCTTTTGTATGTATATCCAACAAAAAAAATTTTGAATATTTCATTGAAAAAAAAAGGTACAAATACCAATATCTGATTGTTAAAAAACAATGTTCTATCATTTGAAAAAAAATAAATAAATAAGGGTAAATTATACATATAGTCCCTGTATTTTATACAATATGTCAATTTGATCTCTGTTGTTTTAATTCACTCAATTTTGCCCTTTAATTTAACGGATTGTATCATTTTAGTCCAATAAATAACGGTTGTTAAGTTTGGTAGACGAAAAATCAAACTATGTGTCAATTTAGTCCATGTAGTTTATACAATGTGTCAATTTGGCCCATGTCAAAATCAAGCTAATTAAAACAACAAGAACCAAATTGACACATTATATAAACTACATGAATCAAATTGACACATTATATAGACTTTTCGTCTACCAAACTTAACAACCGTTATTTATTAGACTAAAATGACACAATCCGTCAAATTAAAGAGCAAAATCGAGCAAATTAAAACATTAGAGACCAAATTGATACATTGTGTAAACTATAGTGACCAGTAGCATAATTTATCTAAAAAATAATAATAATTAACAAACACATCAGCAATAATGTGGTAGTAGAATTTTAAAATTATCGATCACAATAATAAAATTTTAATTTGATAAACTTTTGAAATTATCAATCACAATACTAGATTTATTTTCTAATTTGAAATGAAAGCACCAATAAATGACACATTATTTTGTATGATAATTTTATATGAACATTTTGTTTGCACATTATTACCCTTTTAAAAATATGACTCTCACATTATTTTATATTTTGATTTTTGTATGAAATTGTGTATAGCATTTTTCCAATTAGCATAAACTATATTACCTCTCATTTTGAGTATCTTTCTCTTGAGTTGCTCAGCACAAGCCTCACAGTGCATGTTCACATTGAGTTCCACAGTTGTCAATCCACTAACCTGAAGCAACAAGAGACCACAATACTTCAGCTCGAAAAAAGATACATTCACAAAATCCATTTTTTCATAATTAATTTTATAATCGGTTTCTGTACACATAGAATGAGACCTGTGAATTAATGACTTCGGGTATAGGTTCACCCTCAGCAGCAGGTAATGGGGACAGGACTTGTGCTCTTCTCTTGGTTTTCTGCATTATCTTTGTACATATAGCTTGAGGCTCAACTACTCCTTTGATTGTCACTTGGTTTTGCAACATATCAATCGCGACTCCTTCAACACCTGTTCATTAACCACATGTTTTTAGTGCATGGCGAATACTAAAACTAAGGTCTCGTTTGAAAACAAACTATTTTGATAATTTTTTAACTTTTTATAAAAAGATATGAAAACTGATGTGATAATTTATAATAATTTATTAACTAAAATATGTAATTGTCAAACGCAACCTATAGTCACAATTTTTGTACTTCCTTAAGGGATCAAAAGTACATGAAGAGAGAGAGAGAGAGAGAGAGAGAGAGAGACCTCTTATCCTCAAGATGGATCTCTCAATCTTCTTTGCACATCCCACACAATGCAAGTCGACGAATAACACGAAAGGCTCAGGTGGCTTTGGCTCTTCTGCCTTCTCTTCTTTCTTCTCCTCCCCTGCCTTCTCTTCTTTCTTTTCTTCAGTAGGCTTATTATCTTCTGCCTTGGCTTGTTCCTGTCCATTCCACTTTTGTAAGGATAATGCTATACAAACAAAATCTGTATATAGAAACTCAATACAAATTATACGGTTCACTTATATTCATTCAAAAATGTCATATTATTCTGTTTGAATTTTTTTTATAAAATTTAGAGTGTTTATCAAAACATCGAAATAGCATTAAAAAGATCTGAAAACTGAAAAGAAAAAAATAAATAAAATGCAGAAGCTGAATTATTTACATTATTACATTACCTGTTTAGCTTCTTCACCCATTTGGCTAATCCCAAAATAGAAACCAAAGAAAGCTATAAAAGTTTCTAAAAAAGAGAGGAAGAGCTCTCAGATGAAGGTAAAAGAGGAGAGGGAGGACTAAGAAAAGGATGGTGAGATGGTATTTATATATACACTAAAGAATAATAAGAATATCTATATATATATATAAGATTTTAATGGGGTAGGGGTGTGGGCGGTGCGATAATTATCCTATACATAAAGTGAACTCTGTGATTCCTGAGCACATGCAGGGCCACTAACTAACCATAGAAACAATCAAACTTTGTTACTTGAATTTTTTCTTTAATATTAATATTTGTTAGGTTGTAGAATGTAGAGAGAAGTAAGGGTTGGGGCCAAGGCTAGTTTATTCTTAAAAATGTGGCGAAGAGAGTTGCTAAATTGCAGGAACAAGTGAATCTGCAACGAGTGCAACTTGTGACAAGTTCTACAGATATACGAGTTAAAAGAATTGTTATCATCTTTATCTTTGGTGATAGTTGAACTTTCAACTTCTACTGAGAGGTGACAAAATGTTATTGGGTTGAATTTCTAATTAAGTCTCGAGAGGGATTGTGATCCTCTTCGCTTCAAATTATTCAAGAGTTTATAATGATTATTTCGCAACTCCTAGTTTTTTTTTTATTTTATTTTTTTCAATCAACAAAAAAGAAGGATAAGTTTTTATTGATGAAAACAAATTGTGATATAAATGAAATACATCAATAATGGGGGACAAGAGCAAAAAGTATCAAAACGATGCTTCTTAACCCTTAGATAATGTAATGGATATCTTCTATTATAATTACAAAATTGGGAGAATCTTAGTCTTAAAGAGAGTATTAATGATCCGAGAGAGATTTATTATAAGATTTTTACCATTTTATATTATGGGATGAAACAAAATAGTAACAAAAATAATTGGCGATATACTATTTTTCATTAATATTAACTTATTTTTATTTTAAGAAATGCTATATATATTTTTTGGCCACGGTCACAATCACATACATGGCCACATTTCTCCTGAGGTAAATTATTAGTCATATTCATAAACTTCTGTTTATTGTTAAGAAAATTTTATAATCCACATTTTTTTTTTAATTTGAAGTGTACCATATTGCTATTATTCACGTGAATTAAACTTACGGGTTTTGTTATGGTACACCATCAAAGGGGTGTGTACCATATTTAAGTTAAGATATTTGGAACTAATTTTCATAAATATCATATATGAATCCTTTTAGGATTATAATTTTAAAAAAAAAAATGAGTCTTAACCAAACACTACATAAGATATAACCAAAGACATTTTGGATCATATAACTAAAATAATATCATAACTAACATGACAATGAATCATTACTAACGACATAATTAATACTATAATAAGTTATAACCAAGTGCCACGAACATTGTAACTGGAGCATACCAAAAGACACTATAAGAAAAGGAGGCAAAAAACACGAAAGCTTTTGCAACGGCTCGTTTTCCGTCGCAAAAAATGACCTTTTGCGACGGTAGATTAACCCGTCGCTAAAAAATTATCAAAACGGCGCCAGTTTTAGCAATACGTATTTACCATTTGCGACGGTTTAAAATTTACCGTCGCAAAAAAAGTAATAACAAAACTTTTGCCCTGCTCTCCCCAATTTTTGGCGCTCGGTCATTTTGACAGAAATCCCTAATTCTTTGAAATCCCTAAATCTATGAAGTCCCTCAAACTTTGAATCATTTGCATCGAAATCCCTAAATCTTCTACTTCGCCTATCAGCCGCCGCCAGCCATCTTCGACCTAGCTTTCAGAGCTTCTTCTCCAGCGAAGTTCTTCGGCTTCGGCGACCCCTCCAATCGAACCTCTCTCTACATGCTCAAAACCGTAGTTCTTGGAAGCTTCGAAAATCGCAGCAATGGTGCTTCTGCTGACTCTTCTCTGAGGACTCAAATTAAACTTCAACTTCAACTTCAACTTCAACTTCAACTTCGTTCAACTTCACTTCGTGGAAAGACTAGTATCTAACTATTTCCTTCTTATTATTATTTTTTTTCCCTGTACAAATTCAAGGTCAAAACATAGGAACAAGTTTAGGGAATTGCTAGTTTTTGGTTTTTGTTAGTCTATATGCTCTTTGCATAGCTTTGCATTCTTTGAGGGTTTTGGTCTCTGTCCCTTTTAGCAAACAATCACAGTACATACTTAGAATTATGAGTGTGTGATTGAGATTTAATCTATGCATGGACTCGCAATATATCATTTAAATTTCAACCTTTCACTTATTTTTTGGTCAATTCTTTAATACCCGCAAAAAACACGGAAGCTTTAGCAACGGCTCGTTTTCCGTCGTAAAAAATAACCTTTTGCGACGGCAGATTAACCCGTCGCTAAAAAAGGTCTTTAGCGACGGCAGTTTTACCGTTGGCAATAAACTATACAGGGAGTGTCATAATACAGGAGTATTAGCGACGGCATTTTCCACCGTCGCAAAAAAACAAATTTTTTGAGACGGCGGAATGTTCCTGTCGCAAATAGTTAGTCATTTGCGACGGCAAATATCCGTCGCAAAAAAAAAATTATCAAAACGGCACCAGTTTTAGCAATACGTATTTACCATTTGCGACGGTTTAAAATTTACCGTCGCAAAAAAAGTAATAACAAAACTTTTGCCCCGCTCTCCCCAATTTTTGGCGCTCGGTCATTTTGACAGAAATCCCTAATTCTTTGAAATCCCTAAATCTATTTGGATCGATTTCCCCAAACTTTTGCCCCGCTCTCCCCAAATTTTTGGCGCTCGGTCATTTCGATAGAAATCCCTAATTCTTTGAAATCCCTAAATCTATTTGGATCGATTTCCCCAAACTTTTGCCCCGCTCTCCCCAAATTTTTGGCGCTCGGTCATTTCGATAGAAATCCCTAATTCTTTGAAATCCCTAAATCTATTTGGATCGATTTCCCCAAACTTTTGCCCCGCTCTCCCCAAATTTTTGGCGCTCGGTCATTTCGATAGAAATCCCTAATTCTAAACTTCAACTTCAACTTCAACTTCGTTCAACTTCACTTCGTGGAAAGACTAGTATCTAACTATTTCCTTCTTATTATTATTTTTTTTTTCCCTGTACAAATTCAAGGTCAAAACATAGGAACAAGTTTAGGGAATTGCTAGTTTTTGGTTTTGCATTCTTTGAGGGTTTTGGTCTCTGTCCCTTTTAGCAAACAATCACAGTACATACTTAGAATTATGAGTGTGTGATTGAGATTTAATCTATGCATGGACTCGCAATATATCATTTAAATTTCAACCTTTCACTTATTTTTTGGTCAATTCTTTAATACCCAATTTTGAGTATTTAGCATTTTCCTTTAATAAATTTCCGACCTCAGGTTTGGTTAATTTTTTATTTTTTATTTTAGTGAATCACTCTATCTAGTTGACTGAATAGATTACATGGTGTGTGCCATCTGGACTTGAATTTCTACCCATTCCATGTTAGGTATTCAGAAAACATAGGTGCGCATGGAATTTGTGTATAGCAAAATATTTAAAAATTGTGTGTGGTTCATATTTAATTTATGCATTGTGGAACTCAAATATAAGATGAATTTGAGTGGCATAATAAATTTTTTGTTATATTTTTAGATGAGTTTTGTGTACCTGGCATGGTTAAGTACATAGCTAAAAAATAATACAATAAGTACTGATAGATTGTATTTAGATTTTAAGTTTATGAAGAGATTTATAAATAAAAAATAGAAAAATAAGAGAATAAATGAAGGCTCTATTTGTTTGAAAATAAAATGTTTTACTGACAAATATTTTACATGTAATCTGTTCACATTCTCAAAATAGAGGTTGAACTCATTTTTTTTTTATTACCTGTGTTTTATATCATATCATCATTACCTCTTCATGATCCCTTATTGATACGAAGAGAAGATGAAGCTCACTGTATATTAACCTTGTTGTATACAAAAGTATGCTTTTCTATTATCACAAATTTTCGACTACTGCTAAGACAAGGTTCAGTCCTTGTATTGGGAAAACACCTACTTTAAATTCACTCTCTTGTGTTCCAATGTTGCCAATCAATGATTGTAATGAAGTTATATCTTTAATAGACAATTCTACAAAACACAATACATATGTATATACATAATATTGGCAAATGCTGTATAATTGGTTGAGAATAAATATTGATTTACATTAAACTTATACTCTGTTTGGTTCACTAATAAAATAAAGTGAAATTTACATGTAACTCATTTCTGGTGCATTTGCGCAGACATTCTGTTGGAAGACCAGCCCCAGCTACATCCCTTGATTTGAGATCATCAGCTTTTGATCATCAAATTACTGCCCATTGGTTTTTAGGTTAGCTACAAGATACATATACTTCCATCGTACTTTTTTAAGTTCATTTGCATGTGTCCATGCTTCTCTGTTGGTATTGAAGACATTAAAACTCAAGAAGATCCAATCTTCTTGAGTTGAGCTACATGATTTTCTCTGTTGGTCTTGAAGACATTAAAGGCCATCTGTAATATCTGTGTATTATTTAAGTTCATTTCAAAGGCCTATACCACTGGTTCCATTCTACTTCTGTCCCTACTGCTTACCCACCAAATCAACAGGAAAACACACAAAAAAATTGAGAGGGGACCTTGAAATGTCTTAAATGAAAACTACCACAAACAATTTATATGGATGTTAGCCTCTAGGGACCTTCCTTCTATATTTAATTCAGGAAAGTTTGTTATATTTGTCTTGCTTTTATTATAAATCATTATCCAAACAGACCACTAAAAGAAACATTTGTCTAGCATAATCCAACCCAAGTCTATTTCATGCACATAATAGATGCATCATACTAGAAATGAGTTGTCCCACCCTAATATCTACAGTAGGTTTGATAATATTTGTCTTCACAAGGCCCAAATGATAAATTGTCTCTCGTTATGGATTGGAATTATATAAAATTTATTTTATTAAACTTGTCTGATTTATTATATTTTTTTAAAACATGAAATATTATTGTATTTATTCTAAAATTGATTAACATACTTAATTGACTAAGCATAAAAGAAAATATTATGTAATAGGTAGTTTCAGAACCTAATATAAAAAAAAAAATGAGTTAATATTTT